ATGGCGCATATGATGACATATTTTATTTGTAATATGATGTAGGTTTTTAGCAAATAATGATCGGTGATATCCACATCTCCGCCACTGGTAAGTTTCTAAAGATGGTAATTTTTTGTTTCATACCTACTGTTATACTAAATATGCACACCGAATTTGGTTAAATTATCTCAAGCGATTTCGAAATTAAAAATTATTATTTTTTTCTTTTTTGACACGCTGTAGCTGGACAATGGCTGTCCTAAGACCCCACATTTTTATAACAAAAAACCCGTATTCTTTGCCACAGAATACGACCCTGGATTTTTGGCCTCTACTTAAGAAACACCCTGAATAAAAAGTTTAGGCACAAAACGGAAAATAATTTAACGAAGTAATAAGTAAGTAGTTTTATCACAGCAATTTTATTTTAGTAAATTCAGAGATTGCTTTTATTGGTTTTTCCTACACTGATAAAAACTGTGGAAATTCATATTCACATAGGATTTTTACATATTTTTAATGTAAATGTAAAATTACACGATACTGTATGTTTTGGGTGAATAGCACAAAAAGTGTAAAATTATAATTATGCTATATACAGGGTGGGCCATTAGTGTGAGAAAGTTCACTAACTCCCTTGTTACTTATAATACAGAAAAAAAGTTTATATAAAAGTTGTACAGAGTCAAGAAACCTAAACTACAAAATTAATTTTAAACATACAAGGCGATGAGTAAAAACGGGACACGCCAAACATTACATTTTTTAAATAGAACACCCTGTATATTTTTAAACAGTTGGATTTCTGAGAAAATTCTGTATATGGCAATATAAACAGTTGATCATTTTAGTGCGAGGTTGCCAAGTTATGTAGAAAATTCTTAGAATTTTGGAAAAAAACATGACCCCGAAGAAATTGTATTAACTTTCAACTACTAACACTTGGAGCAAAAATATTTGACAGAGTTATAGGCAAATGTTATACAAAGCCTCCTATATTAGCTAATATCGATATTTTATACAGGGCATTTTTTTATAAGACGATAATTTTTAGAAAGTTCAAACTTGATTTTCTAAAATTTTTTAAATGGAACACCCTATATTTTATTGTTTTATTTTATTCGCATATCACTCCACTTCAACTCTTATTAAGCATGTTCTATACCTAAAATTGTTAGTTTTTAAGATATGGCAACATTTCTGAAAATACTTAATTTTTATTATTTTCGGTCGCACGAGATGGTTTTGGAAAAAACTGTCACATTGTGTCAACTTGTCAGTTCATAATTTACTATTCCATTTTGCGTTAATTTTATTAGTTTATTAGTATCTATTAGTTATTTATTAGTAAAATAATTTTATATTACAATGAATTTTTCTAAAGAAGAAATGGTGGATATGATTTATGTATTGGGAGCTGCTGATAGAAATTTATAATCAGAGATATCCAGATAGAAGACAACCACGTGCAACCTTTGAAAAATTAATGGTTCGTTTTGATACTACTGGCAATGTTTCTTATGAAAAATATGATCGAAAAAATACTATTGTGGATGATGAGAATGAACTGATTGTTTTGTTAAGTGTTAGTGAAGATCCGCATATAGGCACTAGAGCAATTTCAAGGCAAACAGATATAAGCAGGACATAGGTAAGGCGGATTTTAAAGAAGCACAGGATGCATCCATATCATATCCAGTTTCATCAAGAATTGAATAACCACGACTATGAAAGTCGCTTGGAAATTTGTAATTGGGCCAAGAGAAAAATGAATGAAGATAGGTTTTTTTTAATTATGTGCTTTTTACTGATAAGGCAACGTTTCACAAAAATGGAAGCGTGAACAGACACAATTTTCATTATTATGCTTGTGAAAATCCTTTGCTTATAAGGAGACATAGTCAAATCCGGTGGTCACTCAATGTTTGGGGCGGGATTATTGGACATTACGTTATTGGGCCTTATTTTTTCGACGAACATTTAACAGGGCAACTATATCTTCATTTTCTACAAAATACTTACTATGGAAAATTTATTAGAAAATATACCGCTAAATATTCGTCAGAGGCTGTGGTATTTACATTATGGAGCCCCTGTACACCACACGCAGGAAGTTCGTAGATTCTTAAACAATGAATTTCCAGAGAAGTGGGTTGGAAGAGGTGGACCAATTAATTGTCCTGATCAGACAAAAATGGACTATTTTCTGTGGGGATATGTAAAAGATCGGGTATATCAAACTCCCCCTACTACTAAAGAGGATATGAAAAATCGAATTCAGCGAGTTTTTCAAAATATCAACATTGATATTCTGAATAATGTTAACACCACATTTGAACAACGTGTAGAGCTATGTCTAAATCAAGACGGCCGTCATTTTGAACAATTGTAAAATTAAATATTTTTTTATCTATTTTGTTATTTTTTTTCCGTTTAATAAATAAACTATGTTGTTATGTTCTATTAAGATTTTTTTATACACAAATGTGTAGTATAATTAAATTATTTTATAGTATAGACAAGTTGACACAATGTGACAGTTTTTTCCAAGGCCATCTCGTGCGACCGAAAATAATAAAAATTAAGTATTTTCAGAAATGTTGCCATATCTTAAAAACTAACAATTTTAGGTATAGAACGTGCTTAATAAAAGTTGAAGTGGAGTGATATGCGAATAAAATAAAACAATAAAATATAGGGTGTTCCATTTGAAAAATTTTAGAAAATCAGGTTTGAACTTTCTAAAAATTATCGTCTTATAATAAAATGCCCTGTATAAAATATCGATATTAGCCAATATAGGAGCCTTTGTATAACATTTGTCTATAACTTTGTCAAATATTTTTGCTCCAGGTGTTAGTAGTTGAAAGTTAATACAACTTCTTCGAGGTCATGTTTTTTCCAAAATTCTAAGAATTTTCTTCATAACTTGGCAACCTCGCACTCAAATGATAAACTGTTTATATTGCCATATACAGAATTATCGTAAACTATGCCAGTTGTAATACGTTCACGTAAATCATAAGTAGTTTTTATTTTAGTACGAATATTTCGAATATTTTGTGGAAAATGAGGAGGTGCACAATCGTGCAAGAACCATATTCGTTGTCGGACAGCATAATTAAGAAGTCTAGGTTTTCGATGAATTTCGAAATACATATTAAAAATCATTCATTCGACTTGGCAATATGAATGGTCTAATCGGCAGTCCTTTCTCAAACATTCAAAGCAAAACGACACTGAAAGTGATCCTGTTCAAACGTATGCGGATTTTCAAATTCTCATACCTACATGTGTTTTCAGCAATGTGTTTGTGAACATTACTTACCCCACTTCCATTAACCAAAGCTTTATCTGCTACTATCCTATATCAAGTGTAAATCGGAGATTTTGAGCATTTTATTGTATAACCAATTAATGGTTGGATACTCTGTAGATGACAGATATACATTTTACCCTCATGTAATACGTGCCACACTGTTGATTGGAACACTTCAAACATTTGTCAAATGACTTTTCGTGTACTTACGAGATGATTTTTTTTCCACAACATCTGTTTCTCGACTGCTACAATATGATGCGGATACCTACGACCTGGATCTTTTCCACAATTCGGTCGTAAATTTCCTTCTTTACATCTTCGATGGATCACCATGGCAAAGGTAATAAATGGGATAAATGTCTACAAGAAAAACATTATAACATTATGCTTGCAAATGATAAGCTGCTAATGCATTTGGTTTTGCCTCTTTATTAATTCTACATTTGCATCAATACTTATCAGACTGACATAAACAATAAAGCATGGTAATAAGAGCACACTGAAAATCACAATAATAATGAATAAAAAAGCATTCGTCACTCGATCGGCTGCAGTCACCTAGACACACATGTATAAAAAAACTTGATTTTGATAAACACACTAGAGTCGTCCAGCTACGTAATGCTTTTAAATATAACAACTTCAATATTTTTCTTCCCAAAACCTCTAAATATTTAACTACAACTGTAATAACTCAACTATAAAGTTTTTCGATAAATTGTGAATTACCTTGTATATTAAAAAAGTGTTTCTGTTGTACATGAATTGCTTCAGTTTATTGGGAAAAAATTAGTAATTACCTCATTTTTCGATTTATCTGGCACAGAAGAAAATAACACATACCTAACTAAATGTTCAACATTATTTTCTCTTACTTAATAATCGCCTCATTTGAAAAGTCAAGTGGATTAAGTCCTGGCGAACAGAGAATGTAAATTTGAAACTGAATGTATTATATTAGATCTGAATCCACAGTCTGTTCCACTATAGAATTACCTTAAGGTGGCCCGGGGGGCACCTGGAAATTATTATTATTTTGTTATTAACCCAACGAACTCTGTTTCAAGTCACTCTAAGTATGAATTCGTTGGAACTTTGCCCTAAAGAGAATTCTAACATTGCTTTCTCATTTTTTTTACCAAAGAAAGTTCATTAAAGGGCGAATCACCCACGTAACTTTTTTCATTAAATAGAGCACTTTTACAGAACATACTTCAATTAATACTGAACACAATGCCAAGAGGTGGAAAACCTATTGTTGGATCTCATTTACAAGAACATCCGAAACAACCCAGTCAAGAACGTTGAGAATAAGGTAGCCGCTGCAGTCCGATCTTCAAACATACCCAAGGAACTTCACAGGAGTTTGATACAAACCGACTCAAGGACACCTCAGCTGTACTGCTTGCCAAAGATTCACAAACCGGATATCCCTCTCTAACTGATAGTGAGTGCAGTTGGATCAGCAACACACCCCTGGCCCAATACGTCGTAGAGGAGATAAGAGACTTAGTAGGGAAGACAGAACATCACGTCAAAAACGCCGGAGACTTTATCGACAGGATTCAAGGAATTAAACTCCAACCAGGAGATTTCCTGGTGAGCTTCGATGTTACATCCCTATTTACGAAAGTACCCGTCGAAGAAGCCTTGGAGGCTGCATCGAAGACTAATCGCAGAGGACAAGAATGAGAGACTAATGGATTTGGCAAAAGTGTGCATAAAATCGACTTTCTTTGCATTCCAGTACCAATTCTACGAACAGACGGAGGGGGCAGTAATGGGTTCACCGTTATCTCCAGTCCTGGCCAATATATACATCGAAGCCTTTGAGAAGAAAGCCCTGGAATCCACAACGTTAAAGCCTAAGTGCTGGTACCGATATGTTGACGACACCTTCATCATCTCGCCCCAGGGACGCAACACCGTAGCGGATTTCCTGGATCACGTCCATGGGATACATCCAGATATCCAGTTTACCATGGAAGTAGAGAAAAACCCCGCCCTTCCCTTCTTGGATGTTTTGGTTGAGAGGAAACCAGATGGCACTTTAGGACATCGAGTATATAGGAAGCCAATTCACACAGACATATGTCTAAATGCGTAGTACAACCCCCACCCAACCCAGAAACAGGAGATCATAAGCAACTTGATCATCGAGCGTGGATCATCAGCGAGCCAAGATACTTGGCCCAGGAACTAGCACACCTACGCACGGCCCTGAGAGGGAATGACTACACGGCGAGAAATATTGAACGAGCTATTAGGGGAAGACATATGCCCATGGAGAAACAGGAGTACTTAGCGACGACGTATCTACCTTACGTGAAAGGTTGTACAGATAAAATCGGGCGTCTTTTGACGAAGAGGAATATGAACACAGTATTCAGCAGTGTAAGAAGGTGGCCGCAGCGTTTCCAAAGGCCTGCAACAAAGACCAGCTCTAGGACCCCAGTGTATGCAGTATTGCTTGCTCTTGCGGAAAGGTCTACATAGGACAAACAGGAAGGCAGATCAACACGGGGTTAAAGGAACACAAAAGTCACCTCAAAAATAACAACTCGACAGTAGCAGAGCATAGGGCGGACACGGGACACACAGTGGATCTGAGTGAAGCCAACATGGTGGGAGAAGATTTTGGCCCCGACTATACAGAGAAGCATTAGTTTACAAAAATCCGAACAATTTCAACACGAATAGTGGTGTGGATCTGCCAGGTATATGGAAGAGAGTCATCCGTGACAGCAACCCACTGGAACGTCAACAACCATTGGAAATATCGATTTGGACAAATATAATACTTTTTACGTAAAATTGTTAATATTTTATAAATCTGTAGAGAAAATTGTAAAAAAAATGAAATAAAAAAAAATTACGGGCCGAAAACCCCCTTCACCAACCTAAATGGGACGCATATGATTTGCATGTCGAAAAACGGAGTAGCCCATGTTATTTAACGTAAAAAGTTATGTAAGACCCATAAATTTTTTTCTATTTATTTGCGACCGTTTTGTCAATAACAGAAAAAAAAACAGTTTTGTTTGAGCCCTTTTAAGGGCATATAACTTCCTAAGGGTGCGTTTTAGGGCACATGTTAATAGGAACTTTTTGGCTTATTTTAATGAGTTATAAACGCAGCAGAAGTTTGGAACCCTATTTTAGAAACACCCTGTATAGTGACAAGACTAGTACCTAGATCTCCAGTTTCAGAGTAACTTTTGAAGAAGAGAGCGATATGTCTCTCGAGACGTCAAGAGTTGTATATCAATGTGGCAACCAACCCGGAAATCATTCAACCATCAATTACAATACTACTAATATGTATGTTCAAAGTTTTGCTTAATAAAATTCTCTTACGAATTCCATGTGACTAATAAAAATTTGAACACCATACCTTATTCTACAAAAAGAACAAGTTTAATTTTTCCAAACATTGAAGGTAAGAATTGTATAAAGTTTCTTCACACGGTTTTTATAAAATGCCTAAGCTGGCCATAGTTACCTGACAAATCTACAAATATTGACCGTTCGCCCTTCAAACTTGGTTTTCAGGTTTTCATTAGCTTGCGTGTAGAAAATCTCTTTTGAAGCAAGACTTATGATACTGTCGATTCAAAATATTTATTAATTCCATATACCTGATGAAACAATCCTGAGTAAAATGTGTGAAACAAAAAATATCTGTGTAACAGCTGTTTTTTGCGTATCCATTTGTGTAAATGTTACATTTTAATATAGCATACTTCTTTGAACATTGTTGAACAGCTTTAATCAGATATATGTTTTTGTATTATTGAGTATTTTTTTTTTGAATATGTTTGAATTAGCTTAATAGCTTTTTTCAAGATTTCACGAACATATTGTGAAAACAGGGTAAGCCATTAATAATGGTACACAGCTTAATGGCAGATTGTTAATGTCAAAATATAGCAATTGAGCCAAATATGCCTTACTCAATTGTTGCTCCTTTTCGTTCTACAGGGTGTTAAAATTGAAAAAAATGTTTTTGATTTTTTGCCATATTTTAAGTACGTATGAACCGATTGTTTAGAAAATTTGTAGATTTACGTTTTTTGAAGTGGCAAATACGAATATACCAACAGTGTTGGGGTCACGTCTAGGGGGCGCTAGTTATACTGCCCTATCAATGTAAAAATATATCTAACATTTTGTATTTTACAATTTTCAATTTTTTAACTAGATATTATTGAACTAGGTTCAATTGTAAATAAAAAAGGTATACTTGTACGAATCGATAAACTCAACCGTTTTCGAGATACAGACATTAAAAAAATTATTTTTTCCAAAGTAGTAGCCAGTAGTTGACAGCACATTATACCCGAGAAGTAAGAGGATATCTTATAGGCGAGGCAATGAAGCACAAAAGTTCGGAATTTTTTCCATAAAGACGGACCGGAATGCGGTTTTTTGCATTCTCTTCCAAAAATTTTTTGTAAAAAATGTGACTACTTTGTGTTTCTGACAAACCGGAAATTGCATTGCTGCAGCCAAAAATGCATTGAAAAAATGCATTTTTTTGAGACGCCTTTTGGAAGATTACAAAACTTTGTAAATAAGAGTAAGAACTGGCCCAAATCGGGTACTCGGGGGTTTTAGAGGTCGCTGATCACGATTATGATGTTCAAATTGACCCCCCGAAAACCTGGAGAGTAGGAACGCCGATGAACGTCATCTCCGTGGGACTCTCCCACAAATCACGCGGGGAAGGAGAGAAACTCGGCGCCCGGGTTTTTTTGGATCGCTGAATTCAAATATGCCATCGTCGAACACCCCCCGGACACCTGGTGCGCCCGAACCTGGACGTGGACGTCATCTCCGAGAATTTTCCTAACAAGGTCGCCAAAAACAACTCAAAAATCATCGTAGGGGCGTTTTTTGGGGCGCTTAATCCAAATTTCACGTCGAAAACGACCCCCTGTATACCTGGTGCACCGTAACCTGGGTCTGAACGTCGTCTCCGAGGGGTTTCCTCACACAATCGAAGAAGACGAACCCAAAATCATTATGGGGGGTTTTTCGGGGCGCTGAATTCGGATTTCACGTTGAAAAGTACCCTCCCAACACCTGGTGCACCCGAACTTTTATCTTGACATCGATGTCATTCCCATGAATGTCAACCAAACCTGATGTCTTAGAGACCGACATCAATACTGCAACAGTTGTGTGGAATTGTTGATTCTAGTTAAATTATGTGAGGAGGAAAAAATGGAATGAATAGAAAGTCAATATTTATGTAATTGGCGGACCCCAGGCGAGAGTTACCCATGAATGAATGTGTGAAATTATGAGACGATTTTTGCGATCGTGTCTGGAAAACCCTTGGAGGCCCAGGTTACGGTGCACCAGGTGTTCGAGGGGTCGTTGTCGACGTGGAATTCGGATTAAGCACCCCAAAAAACGCCCCTACGATGATTTTTGAGTTATTTTTGGCGATCTTGTTAGGAAAATTCTCGGGGATGACGTCCATGTCCAGGTTCGGGTGCACCAGGTGTCCGGGGGGTGTTCGCCGATGCCACATTTGAATTCAGCGACCCAAGAAACCCCCGGGCGCTGTGTTTCTCTCCTTCCCCGCTTGAATTTTGGGAGAGCCCCACGGAGAAGACGTTCGGGGCCAGGGTCCGGTGCACCAGGTGTTTGGGGGGTCGTTGTCGACGTGGAATTCGGATTCAGCGCCCCCATATCGATTTTCGGTTCGCCTTTTTCGATTGTGCGAGGAAAACCCACGCAGATGAGGTCCGCGTTCAGATTCCGGTGCAGGTGTACAGGGGGTCGTTTTCGACGTGAAACTTAAGCGCCCCAAAAACCGCCCCCAAAATGATTTTCCGGTTGTTTTTGTCAATCTTGTCAGGAAAATTCTCGGAAATGACGTCCACGTCCAGGTTCGGGCGTAGCAGATCCGGGGGGTGTTCGACGATGGCATATGTGAATTCAGCGACCCAAAAAAACCCCCGGGCGCCGAGTTTCTCTCCTTCCCCGCGTGATTTGTGGAAGATGACGTACATCGGCGTTCCTGAGCTCCAGGTGTTCGGGGGGTCAATTTGAACTTAATAATCGTGATCAGCGACCTTGAAAACCCCCGGGTATCCGATTTGGGCCAGTTCTGACTCTTATTTACAAAGTTTTGAAATCTTCCAAAAGGCGTCTCAAAAAATGCATTTTTTGAATGCATTTTTGGCTGCAGCAATGCAATTTCCGGTTTTTCAGAAATACAAAGCAGCCACATTTTTTACAAAAAATTTTTGGAAGAGAATGCAAAAAACCGCATTCCGATCCGTCTTTATGGAAAAAATTCCGAACTTTTGGCCTTTTTAGTGCTTCATTGCCTCGACTATTAATAGAAATTTCCCGTTGGATGGGATGCTGTAGCGAAGTACCTTGGCCTGCACGTAGACCTGATTTAAGTCCGTTGGATTTTTCTTTTGGAGCTATCTTAATTCTCTAGTTTATAAAGACATTATCAATAGTCAAGAACAACTGTGGGCAAATATTTAAGAATCAGTTCATGTTATCAAACAACACAGAACTTTATTTTTTAACAACAGACAAAATTTAAATAAGTGCATTGAAGTCGCTGGTAGTTGCTTCGAGAACCTTTTATGATTAATAATTTCTTAAGATATTAAGCATAAAAAAAATTTCAGTCGCTGTAATTGTCTTAATTCAGGCTTGGTTATCTTATGACCTGCAAATTTTCTAAATTAATTCCTGCCGATTTGTAACAAGTATACTTTTTATTTACTATTGAACATAGCTCAGTATTATCTAGTTAAAAAATTCAAAATTGTAAAATACAAAAAGTTAAACATATTTTTACATTGATAGGACAGTATAACGCGCCCCCTAGACGTGACCCTAACACTGTTTGCATATTCGTATTTGCCACCATAAAAAACGTAAAGCTACAAATTTTCAAAATAATCGGTCTATACATAAGTACTTAAAATAAAGTAAAAAATCAAAAATATATTTTTAACTTTAACACCCTGTAGAACGAAAAGGAGCAACAATTGACTAAGGCATGTTTGGCTCAATCACTATATTTTGATGTTAACAATCTGCCAGTAAGCTGTGTACCATTATTAATGACTCACCCTGTATTTAATTGTAAAATGTCTATACTATATTAAGTTTTGAATAACCTCTTCTTTTTTTTCTTTAATTTACTACATCACTAGTTTAAAACGTCTTCTCGTGATTTAATACTTAATACAAGTTGCTGTCAATAAAAATGCACATTTTATTTACAAGAATAAATCAGTATCCTAATGCTCAAGGGTTGGTAAAAAACCAAGTGGTCAGCGCTGACCAGTTCAGAGAGCAACTATTAAAAGCGTGTGAAAGAAACTTTATACAGTTCTCAATTTGAAAACTAGAATAGTAAAACTTGTTCCTTTTATCGAAAAGAAAAAAGTGAATTTTCAATCGTGTCTTACCCTTTGAATTGTTATCATTCATTTTATAAAGATTAGTTTGAAAAAAAGTGCCTATATTAAAATCAAGTACAAACACAAGAAATAATCTTGTATTATATTTTATTAAAAGTTCTATAGCTTAATGGAGAGTCTCCATAAAGATCAGTAAGAATTATTTTTAGAAAATAAAAGTACCTATTATTGATGACTCCATAAGATTATTGTAATTGATA